CAAATAGTTTTAGAAACCCTAAATAACAATTTAATTCCTTATCTTTTTAGGATTATTTTTCCTTTTATTTTTGAACTTCACATAACAAAAAAAGTCCTCTGCCGTCCCTGTGTCGTACCCGGTCTCTGCTTTGCGTCTCCGATCAAACGAAACGTCGAAGGGACGTTTCCTAGCCGTCCCCTAGCCGTCCCCGTCCCCACGCCGTTTCCGGGACGGAGGCCCCCACAAAAAGGCCGTTTCCGTGCATCCTAGGTCTCAACTTTCCAAAGACTAGTCAACACTCTCGGTACTCCTAAAGACACACCTGAGCTTCGAGAGAAGCTGTAAGTTTGTTCTTGATCAAAATTGTTTCTAAATTCAGTAGCTTCAAATTGGTTTTGACTATGTTGTTATTACAATTTGCTGGTTTTAAAGGCACAAGACAAGATTACATATTGGACAGTTAGTTAAAGATACATCAGCTAAACTTAAAAGAAGCTAGTGAAACTGATCATCCAAGAGGTGTAAATGTGAGTGATTTAAAAACCAAAGAAAGGAAGATTCTTGTTTCTTGTTCTTGTGTTGGTTTATGAGTTTTGATGGTCTTGTTCTGTTTATAGCCAAAGAAGAAGATTGTGGATGCTAAGCTTGCAAAAGACTTCCAAGCTGTATTGAAAGAGTTTCAAAAGGCGCAACGTCTCGCTGCCGAAAGAGAAACCGTTTATGCTCCTCTCGTGCCAAAACCATCACTTCCTTATAAGTAAATGCTCATTCTTGTAGATATTAAAATTGGTTTTATGTTTGTTTTGTTGTTTTTGTGTATTGATTTTTTGGATTGGTATGTAGCTATACAACAAGTGAGGTTGATGTGAATGCAGATAAGCATCTAGAGCAGCGTGCGGTTCTTGTGGAATCGAAAAGGTTAGTTTATACAGGCAATAGTCTCGATTTTGTGTCCGGATTTGGTCCTCAGATGACTTATGCTTGGTTTGTTGTTGTTGTTGCAGATAAGAACTTGTACTATTGGATACTGAGATTGTTTTCAATGAGGCTATTATTGAGGAAAGAGAGCAAGGGATACAAGAAATCCAGCAGCAAATTGGCGAGGTGCACGAAATCTTCAAAGATTTAGCAGTGTTGGTACATGATCAAGGAACCATGATTGGTAAAAAACTGATACTTAAATCTTGTCATGATACAACCCTCAGTTATGTCCTCAAACTAACATCTATTTTCCTGTAGATGATATCGGTACTCACATCGATAACTCCCACGCTGCAACTGCACAAGGAAACACTCATCTCGCAAAAGCCTCAAAGACACAAAAAATCGAATTATTCTCTGGTAAAATTATTCAAGGTTTTGTGATCATACTGTGAATGTATGTTGTGAGGAATTTAACCTATAAACTTCTTCTTCCCATTGGTTTTTTCCTTGCAGATGCGCTTGCTCTTGGTGATTTTTGGTATCGTGCTCCTGATCGTTATTATAGTGCTCACGGTTTTATTTTCAAGAACTCCTAAAAGCAAGTAGAAGTGCTGCAGTCAAGAAGCACCAACGAATGTATCTTTGTGTCACTTCACGGCTCTTTCTGTTCCTACTATGTTGGACTATTGGGTCCTTTGTCTCTTGTGTACAAAGTATATAGAGAAGTTCGAGTTNGTTCTGTTTCAGTTTGGTTTGAGAGTGTCTTGAATGTTGGTTTTGTAAGAAAGAGTGTTGTTGCTTTTTATGTGTAACATTGCAGACAAGAGTGGTTGATGAAATGAAAATTCCTGGTTTCTATCATCTAATCATTAAAGGAACCCAGGCTTGAGCCAATGAATTTTGCGCATATATATGAATTTTGCAGAGTATGAACAAACCAAAGTCATTTGGAAAAAAAGCAAGCCTTGATTGAGATAACAAGCAGCTGCAGGATCCTTAAGGCATCCACAAAAAGCCTCGTCATCCTCCTTCGGAAACGACTTTGGCAGTGGATGATCAGGAGTAACACCGACCTATTTGAAAATCAGAAACAAAGTATAAATTATGTATGTATGAAGACAGAGTCACTACAGGACATCATAATGTGTAAGATAGCAGTTTCAGACCTCGTCTATATCCGTGTGAGCTAGTGTTTCGTATCGAGCTGTTAACCCCGAACGATCCGAGAGCTGAAACACTGACTGTATCTTACTGCAAAATGTGTTAAAGTGTCAAGATTGTTACGAAGTCTCAGTCTTTGAGGAGAAGTATGTAATAAAATCAACTATTTTTGTTTACCCTTTTCCGTAAGTCGGTTCTCCATAAACCAGCGCACATTTGTTATCTTTCAAGGCGCCTGCTAATATCTCACTGGCACTCGCAGTGCCTTTGTTAACCTGGAAAAGAGAAAGATTGTGTGAGAGCTAAAATATTTACATGAAGGAGATAGATTGATTCGAGGAAAGGAAGGAAGCTTATACGAGAACAGCAAGAGGCTCAGAGGTTGCTATAGCATTGCTACCATCAGTATCATATATATCTCGAACTCCTCGACTATCACAAATATACACAATCACTCCTTTATCGAACCTGCAGATAGCAAAAGTTTTTAAGTTTATATTAAGAGACTTGTGGATTTTGAAATCTTTCTGATTCTTTGGATGAAGTGATTTATGAGGTTTTACCAAATCTTAGCAATCGCAATTCCTTCTGGGAAAGAACCTCCACTGCAGCAAAAAAAGAAAAAAAAGAAATTCCAAGTGTTCAAGAAAAGCTGTTGCAAAAAACAAAATAGAGTTTTTTTCCCCCCTATAATCATCACCTATTGTCTCGAAGATCCAAGACGAATGCGTTCACATTATTGCCTCTCAAGGTCTCAATTGCTTCCTTTACCGCACCTACAGGGAAATTGTATATGACTTTGAGAGATAATAAACCGGAAAGTGGAGAACTTTGTAAGATGGATTCAGTAACGTCAAAAGAATGCGTACCAGAAGCATTTTGATTGAATGTTGTTAGCTTGATATACCCGATCTTAGGGGAATTACTCCCAGAACCAGGTATTTCACATGACCTCGACTTCACACGATTCACGGAAACTCGCTCTCGCCTGAAAAATAACAATAATCAGAGTGACTTAACAAACGTGAAAACAAGAAAAATGTAACTAATGTAGGGATGGAGAAAAATACGTCAAAGATAAGAATCTCGTTTCAGGTCCACTGCGTATTGCCAGCTCCACTACGCTTCCTTCAGGTCCCCTGCATTTTAGCCAAAGCATATCGTAACCGATCTTTCAAAAGCTAAAGGAAGGATCAAAGTGAAAATGTGGCTTACTGCAACATCTCTGCAGCATCGTAAATGGTCAGAGTTTCTATAGTTGTATTATCAATTCCGAGAATAACATCTCCCGGTGAAACTCCCGCCCTATTTGCAGGACCTCCTGGAGCAACAAGCCCACCCGATGTCTCATCTGATGCAGCGGGGTAACCTATCGACAGTCCTACACCCGTGACCGCTCCTTGAGTTCCAGACTGCCTTCAACCAAAACATTTACTACATCTTACATAAAAAAAAAAACTATTTGCAAGATTCAGAACAGCGGTTTTCAGGAATTCTTACCCGCAAACTCTTAAAATTTCCGGGCTGCAAGAATCACGTAAAAGGATCATCTAGTGTTGCAACCATTTTCTTAATAGCCATGTCTAGACACAAACAAACACCAAAATCAGAAGCAAGTTGTAATAAAATTCAAAATGCTCTTTGTTCAAATACACACATACAAGTCTCTTCTCGAGTGTTCATAGACTCATTTCGTAAAGCACTCTCTCTGTAACGAAACCAGCTTTGTCCGTTAAAGGTTTTATCGATATAAGCACGATCAGTTGTTCTCCAAGCTTCTAAGAAGAGAAGATTCTTTTCACTAAGACCCCCTAGAGAGAGAGAAACTGGACAAATCAAATCAATTGCATCCCCTAATGGTTTCTCAATATGTAAAGACCAAAATTACATGATGGTGAGAGTCAGCAGTGGTAACAACAGAAATAGATGAGACAAGAAGAACAGACAAGAACAGAGACTAATCGAACTGAAGCAACAGAGAGATTCTGTCTGAAATTGACTGAAGATTTCATCATAACCTTCCCTGAAAATTTCCTATGATCATTTCTATCGAGAAGACACAGAAATCTATTACAGACAAACACAAGCCTCGAGCTTGAATTGTCTCTACAATTTCGAGCATATCTAAAGTTCTTAGCTTTCAGAGTCTTTGGAGCTTGAGATACCCACAATTTCACCTGCAAAGATTGAAATCTATTACAGAAACTGAAAAAGAGTAAATTTTGTAATAGAGAAAGTACCTGGATTGAGAAATTAGGGTTTATATGATTGTGCTTAGTAAAAATTGGGGATAATGAAGAACTCGCAAGGACCTCCATTGAAATGAGCTTCCCCGGGAAAATCCTAACTCTGTTTTCCTTATCGAAACTGTATAGACTGAAGACGTTTATAGCATAAAAAGTGTTCACAATTGCTACAAATTTGAATGCTATATCGTCATTGTGCCACAACCGTAATTTAAAATCTATCATAATGGGTGTTAAAAAAAATA